AATATATTTCCCATAAACTCAGCTATATATTTGTTAGGTATATTTTCATTTACATATGTACTCCCGACGTGACGTCATCAGTAAAATACAATGAGAAATATAATCGAATTTTTGGTTGAAGTTTTTGACCTTGACCGCGTTATTTGCTTTTGTTACTTTTATACATCCTACCAAAGGTGATTCTGAAATGTAATAAGAATACTTCTTAATTTGATATCATAAGCCAAATTAAAAGCTTTCAGAGGCTTTCATATTTTTCATTAAAACTGTATAACGTATAACAGTTGTCTATGAAAACTTAATGCGTTCTTAAGTTCCCTTAAAGTTTATGTCATGTGACACCTCGGTCATTATGTAGTACGGTCGCGTTAAGTGTTTCTGACGTAATCATGTCTCAATTTGAATAGATATATAAATGAGCCGGTTAAACTTTTTAGTTTACAAGACTGCCCGGCGTAGCGATACATACACACACGTATATAACAGGTTTTACTTAAATCATTATCAGAATAAGTAGTCAGTTGGCATTCAGATAATCGAAACCATATAAAACAGCGTATATATATAAATGTAATAGTTGAAACGGCCGAGATATATTTTGTGGCTCTGCCTTTGTACAGACACCGTCCGCTTTCATTGTGCTCTCAAGATGAGTCTACTATTGATGGATGTCTTTGGGATTGTACTAGCTATTCTCATTTCTGTATATTTACCAATTCCGTCCATGTATAATAGTAATATAGTATGATAAACACATTGGAATATATTTATTTACTTGTATATATGTACTTGTGGCACCTGTTGATGTATTTACACTGGAGTAGATACGGAAATTATTGTATACCTCATGCCATTGTATAAACCAACTCATTTTTTGAAAAGTGAAAAAATATGTCAGTATTTGCAAATGAACCATAAAAAATGTTGTATTTGCTTCAAATTACGTTCTATATGTTGCAAATTATAGCTGATCTCTTGCTGTACGATGCTCTGAAGTAATCTGATATATACAACATCATTTGATCTGTGCTACTTTACAAAATATTGTGTTTTGAATCATAGTAATATGGATCTCCGTATATTTGTTGATTAACTGTCTCAAATAATTGCCTTGCAACACAGAAACATTTGCATGAATGCATTTTTACAAATACTATCGTTACTTGTGAACTGTTTTCCAGTTGGAAAATGTTTGATTTTTCTTCCGTTGTCCTATTTTAACAGTTGGATACGAACAATAATTAAAAAGAATTGCTATTAAGACGAAATTTACTGCATCGTTTTCAAATGATGTTTTTTCCTTTACCGAACCACAGAAATTCACGATCAAAGACCCACAGACACTCGTTATCATTTTGTCTATGGTTCAATATTGATAAAACAGTTTATTTACATCAGAAAAAACCCAAAAGACAAAACTTTTTATTTGCTGTTATTATTGTTTAAGAGTGTTATTAATGACCTCCGGCTATAATGTACCTTAACAGCAAACATTTTAACAAATTTCTTGGTTTGAATTTCTTTTTTTTTTCAAAGGAAATAGTAAAATAGCGTACATCTTTGAAACTAATATCGGCAAAATTAAGATTTCATTTTCAAGAAATACATAATTTTGAAGTAGCACGCCAAAATTATACAATCACTGATGGTCTTTCACACTAATAAATAACTGTTAATTTGTCATTCTGTGATACAAACATTTCCATATTTTTGTATACAAAACATGTTTGAGTTGAATATTTATATTACACAATAAATAATAAATGAATCCTTTGTCATTTATTTTGTCCACAAATCCATTGCTAATCCAATACACTTGTTGAACTATGTCATCTAGTTCCATGGTTTGTACAACGTGAGGAAGACAAAGGGAGACAATCAGAAGTTAAATTTTATATAAGATGTATATTCATACCAGGATAATCCTTCTGTTTAGATATAACAATTATATTGCGTTGAGAGATTATATAATAACACACAATATCTGTTGAATGACTTTACAGACTTAAATATATTTCTGATCTCAAACTGAAAGCTAAGCAGATTTGCCAATAAAATAGCATGGATAGCATTTTCTTGGCTACATGCATGGGTTTATTTCCTTGCAAATTATTTCCACTCTATTTGGATACATTCTTTAACTATGCATTCGTAATGCAAGCATTCAAGGTAAAACTACAACACATCTGAAAAAAGATTAGACATAAGAGAGATAATGTGACATATATTGAACATTCAATATCAGTAACCGTTTTTGTTGATTGCCTTTTTCATATTAAACTAATTACTATATATCAATGTTTACGAAACGTCGCAGACCCGTGATGAGGTTCATGTAAGCCCCTATATTGTGTTAAGATATTAAGTTTGTGTATACAGGTGGTCGTTAAAATTGTTTTTATATATAATGTATAATGATTAGCGAATTGGTTTAACTGCATTGTAATTGATTTATTTGTATTTGAACAATGTTACCTTTCCATTCATGCAAACTGCCAGTGTAACTTACAGGTAATGGCTCAATTTTTCTTGATTACATGTTGAATTTGCCGCACAGACATTGTTTTGCTACTATCGATAAAAATGGGGTGCTTCACAAAAACGTTGAGAATGATGTTGTTTTTATGTTTACTAACAACATGCGCATTCTCAAATATGAATAATCATTTACTCCTTTATAAATTAGTGTCGAGTACACTATTTTAGAACATTTCCTTCAGGTTCGTAATGTCAATAGAAAAGGCATATACGTTCTGCTAGGTCTTTCGAGGTCTCGCATATCAATGACCAAGTTTTAAAAAAAAGTAGACGATTTGACTACAAAATATTGTTACCATCTGGTGTATTACTTGGCCTATAATCTGTTTACCATCTCGTCACACTATTTTCGACCTTAGTGTACGTACGATTATAGTACAGCCGGAAAAACTGGTCGATTCCGTACCGTCTCGCACACTACGTACGTCAGTACTAGTACGCCCCACTCTGGTCATTTGTCTAATGTCTAAGATGGCCGTGCAGTCATCGGAACGTCACACTCAAATTCACTGTTTGTATTATAAGAACTTCTATTCTATAATCGAATAAACTTTTCATGCGACGTAAGATTAAAATATTTTCTACATTTCACTTTACAAAAGAATGAATTAAAAGACGTAAACAGAAATCAACACGGTCACATTGTAGGTTGTTTTGGTACTGTGTTATCTGTTGTATGACCTTCCGCTATCATATTTCATGTTTACCAAAACTCCCTGGTTGGTACTTGTCCTATTTTACAACCCACAGGATGTGTCATTTGTGGCTTCCTAACCTTTCAGATAAAAATTATGTAAAACCCCCACCAAATGCCTGCAATTCTGAGCATATGGCACGTAACACACAATGCAGCTGGGACAAACACTAAAGATTAAAGGCACGTATTTTTACGAAATCAACACTGCTTACAGGGACTAAATGGGTTGATATTTTTTTCATAACTGATGAACATTATGAAATTTAGATATCTGGTACAAATAGTGTAATTTCTGTAAATTATGATATTTTAAAGTTTTCAATACGCTTTATTAACGTCAAAAATTAAAATGAAGTATGTGCAACCAGACACTAATTCATTTCATTATCGTTTGGAGAGTGAAAACAATGTCTTTGCACTTGTAATGTTAGAGTTAGATTAATTATAATTAATTAATTTCGATTTCACACGTTTAACGTGAAACAATAGGTCATTTTACAAATTAAGTTTTGGCTAATTACATAATTACACATAGTATGAAATCATATCAAAGCGGCGGAATAAAACGAGTCTCGAAAAGGTCACGTGATGAACTCGGCTATCTCCGATCAAAACAGCGATGTGTAGTAGACACAACAGCGAGTGTCGACTAGCGTTAGTTTGAAGCTTATAACATTCATCAATTTCTCTCGGAGAGTGTTAAAAATAAATTTGTGAAGAGTCTAATTTCAAGTTTTACAATGCTTGTGCATAATAAAACCCATTGGAAAGAATAACGAAATCTAACAGTTTAGTCCCTTTAAAATAATCAATACTAAACATAGGCTTCCAAGGTGAGCCAACAGGCAATTGACTTGGACTTGCAGTATGATGCCAAATCTCGCCATGCTTCTTTTCTCATTTTAGGTCACAGTTTCTTTGACATTACTCTTTAGTTACAACTACAGCGATTTGCGTAAAAGATATGGACAGCTGACAGAGTAGTTTTCATAAAAACAAGTGAGGTATCGACTTAATAGATAATCGAAATTCTAAAGATTGATAAGAAAAAACCACAAACACACTAAATATAGCTTCCTTTATATGATATTTTATTTTTTTTTTCTCATTTGGTGTTGGTGCAGAGTATAGCTTGCCAATTCTTTTAAGCATATCTAAGTACAGATTTTAAGTAAATGGGCAATGATATTTAAGCATTAGAAGTAAAAATAGCAAAAAAAAAATCGGTCAGATTCCTTAAAATACTCGAATATATTTCCCATAAACTCAGCTACATATTTGTTAGGTATATTTTCATTTACATATGTACTCCCGACGTGACGTCATCAGTAAAATACAATGAGAAATATAATCGTATTTTTGGTTGAAGTTTTTGACCTTGACCGCGTTATTTGCTCTTGTTACTTTTATACATCCTACCAAAGGTGATTCCGAAATGTAATAAGAATACTTCTTAATTTGATATCATAAGTCAAATTAAAAGCTTTCAGAGGCTTTCATATTTTTCATTAAAACTGTATAACGTATAACAGTTGTCTATGAAAACTTAATGCGTTCTAAAGTTCCCTTAAAGTTTATGTCATATGACACCTCGGTCATTATGTAGTACGGTCGCGTTAAGTGTTTCTGTAGCGATACATACACACACGTATATAACAGGTTTTACTTAAATCATTATCAGAATAAGTAGTCAGCTGGCATTCAGATAATCGAAACCATATAAAACAGCGTATATATATAAATGTAATAGTTGAAACGGCCGAGATATATTTTGTAGCTCTGCCTTTGTACAGACACCGTCCGCTTTCATTGTGCTCTCAAGATGAGTCTACTATTGATGGATGTCTTTGGGATTGTACTAGCTATTCTCATTTCTGTATTTGTTTCTGCGGCATGGTATGTTCATCGCCAACATCAGAAATATGACCACCTTCCCGGCCCAAAACGCGACAGGTCAGTATGATGCATATGTTCATGATATTAATTTTTTATCATTTTGAAACAGAATTTCTCATTCCTCAATATTTTTGTTTTGTTGTTGTTTTTGTTGTTGTTGTTGTTTTTGTTGTTGTAGTTGTTGTAGTAGTAGTTGTTGTTGTTGGTGTTGTTTTTGTTGTTGTTGTTTTTGTTGTTGTAGTTGTTGTAGTTTTTGTTGTAGTAGTTGTTGTTGTTGTTGTAGTAGTTGTTGTTGTTGTTGTTGGTGTTGTTTTTGTTGTTGTTGTTGTTTTTGTTGTTGTAGTTGTTGTTGTTGTTGTTGTTGTTGTTGTTGTTGTTGTTGTTGTTGCAGTAGTAGTTGTTGTTGTCTTTGTTGTTGTTGTAGTAGTAGTTGTTGTTGTTGTTTTCCCTGCTGATTTTCCATGGGTAATAAAAAAATATTAAACAGTTGTAAAAGGAGAAAATAAAATTCGTGAAAACCATATAAGCATTGACGCATCGCCATTATTGCTTCTTTTCCCCTATCTTTGACCTGTCATCGTCATATCATAGAGCAATCCAATCGCAATACGTCCGTAATTTGCCCGTACGACCGTCCGTAAATATATCCTTGTTGGCGCTATTGCTTGAAAAATACTATATGAAAAGCTTATGGAACATCATTAACATCAAGATTGAATTTCGCAGTACATTATTTACTCTGTATTACAAACTGTAGTCGCAAAAATGGCATGTGAAATATGAGTATGCTTCACTCTTTAAATGGTACAGGTAAACTGCTTCTTGTTAACGATATATACCTTACATATGCAGTTTCTGGAGTGGACATATTCCATCTATCTCAAAAACTATTGCTGCCGGCGGTATCATAGATGACTACTTCCTTGAAGTGTAAGTAAATACAAGTTTTTGTTTATTCCGTTGGTAATCTTAATGTACGAACTTATATGTCAACGAACTGCTGAATTAATGCAAGTAGATTTATAGATTTGTCCATTGAAATCCACGGAAATTTAGCCACACGAAAATTTATGAGAGAACGTTAACACTGTTTTACTAAAAGAATTTATATATATATATAAATTACTCTTGGGAAATACATTCTTTCTAATAATTGTTTACAGTGTCATTCTAAATGAAAAAAAAAATGTTTCCAAATACGATTCTCATTTGTTAAGTTACAATATTGCAATCATAATTTATTTTCAGATCCAAAACCCATGGGCTGATATTTCGTATCTGTCTCTGGCATCAAGTTTTGGTCATCGTTTTAGATCCAGAATATATAAAGGTAAAATTTCATATACATACAATTATTTGTTAAATGCCTATAATTGCATATCAAAACTACCTACTCTCATGTTTTTGAGTTTTGTTTGTTTTTTCTCGATTTCCATAATGTCTTATGGAACTGTGATATGTATGACAGCATATGGCTGATGATATGACAATAGAACAAACGAAATGGATGAAGTAAAACTGTTGATTTCATGTTTCATTTATATACACTAGAATTTATTCCTTTTTAGGATGTTCTTGTAAGTGGAAAACACCAGAAATCCAAACGTCTGTATTCAAGACTTGTCAACCTGTTTGGTGTAAGGTAACGTAAAGAAATTTTTGTTTGGAATAAAAGAGAAAAAATATCCTATTCTAATTATTGTTATTATTTTCAATATCTCGGAAAGATGATAGATTTATTTGCTACAGAAATTATAAATTCATATAAAAGTCCAATCCATGAAACTGTACACGACGTTGTTTTGAGATAAACGAATACTGCGAAGTTTTGGGTTGCGCCTTCGAATCCTGTTTCGCTACTGTTTACTTCGGCCAACTTTAATCTTTCAACTGGGTTTCAATAATCACGTTACTGATATAAACTGATATAGATTTACACGATGGAAGAAAACACGGCGGATACTGTAATACTATGCACATTTGTCTTATTTTCTTTGTACTTCTTCATGATTTCCAGTGTAAATTTGGTCTAATTTTGCCCTGTTTTTAATTCGTTTTTAAATATGAGTTTGCATCATTTTGTTGATTGATTGATGTTTGACCTTATTGTTTTTTTTCTCACTCTGCTTTTCCTGTTTCAGATTTATTGGACTTGGAATTGAAAGTCAGATTGATAGGAAAATGTGGATAATACAACGAATGCATCTTGATAATTGGTTCAAACCACAGTAAGTTACGTTTCTAGTATTGAATCCCCCCCTCCAAAAAAAAAAATATTCTGATGGGTGTATAGATGAATAATTGAAAGGACGGATGAACATACGGACTGGCGATTGAACTTAGTGTTTATGCTTTATATTATTGCACATTTTGGTGACGTCTGAAAATGTTTACTTTGCTTAATTTAATTAATTATTTAACAATGAAAAAACAACGTTCAATATTATTCTAGTGCCTATTCGCATTATTACAATCGTGTAAGAAGTCATCAACTGACGGACAAACGCATGACACAGTGTTTCAAAAGATGCAGGTTGATGACATTACTTTCTTGGATTGACCAAGGTTTACTTGGCGGGTGTCATCGATGAAGCAGAAGACGCTTACTCTTCCGGAATACCTGGTCTTATTCTCATGTACGTTTTTCAGCAGTCTCAATGTAAATCTTCTCTCTGTTTTATTGACTTTGAGTTTGGATTATGATTACATTGACAGATCTGTTTTTGTTGATTTTGATAGAATGTATTAAGAAAACCTAAAACGTGAAAAGTCATCCTTGTCGTTTCTGAAATTATCAGTCGTTATAATTCATTTTACTCACTACTTTCAGCTACCTTCGAAAATTTGCGTCTGATTTCAATGAATATTCCGATCGCTTCATAGAGCACATGGAAACACAAGCGGACGGAAAGACAGAGATACACATGTTACATTCTTTTAACAAACTTTCGATGCATCTGTTATACAAGGTTTGTCTGAAATAGAGTATAATAAGAACAACACAGATCTTACTTGGTGTAAGGTTTGTCTGATAAAGTCACGTTGTGTGCAAAGGCAGATACATTGTAATCAATATTTTTCTTTGTTAATTTATAAACAGTACATTAAAAGTAATACAAAATTGTTATATATTACAGAAGGTTGTGCTTTAAGATAACACGTCTTCAATTGTTAAAAAGATTGTATTTCGACAAAATTAAAAAAAAGTATATAACTGAAATAAAGCTCAACTCAATGTGATTATCATTTTGCATGTAATGTAGTTGTTCGAAAGTACAGTGAAGTTTTGTGTGATAGACAGTTGGAGGAAAACACTTTTCTTTTCAACGTAAACAGCTGCTTCTGTCTCTTGTGATCAAAGGATCAACAAAGTAAACGACTTTAAGATCAAAATATTTGTCATAATCGCCAAATGGGACATACTCTGTCAGGAAGAGTAGTATATGACAAACATATCGGGTATTTAAGAGAATCTGACTCTTATTACAGGTTGCGTTTAGTGTCGACATGGGACCATTGAGTGAAGAGGATCATCCCTTTGTCAAAAAATTTAAGACAGTTTTATCCGGATTTGCAGCGCAACTGGAAGATCCTTTCGTTGCTGTATGCATAACACGTTTTTTATTATATCGGTCGATTTAAATTGTCAACAAATTTGAGGTCTTATTTTTAAATGGTAATGATTTGAATCTTAATATGTTCATAAATATTTTTGACGTATTGGTTAATGAATCTTAGATTACAAATTATTAAAGTGGTTATGAGAACTATCAGTCATGTTATTCAAACAGTTTGCAAACGTTGTGGTCGAAACACTAACAAAAAATCAATTAACACCGTATGAAGATTTCCTTATCCCTTACAGAATACATATATTTCATTTTAATTTATATTGCTGGGAATTATTTCTTAAGGAAAAAAGAACATACTGAGAAATTCATTAGGTAATTATAGGATATTGTCTATTTAGATTAGGAAGAAGAGGATCAATAATGCGAATCAATAATGAACAAGTGAAAGTGCTGCAAATGTTCCTTATGTATAAAAGCATTAACTTGAGTTACAGTTTGCCAAAGTTGGAAATAAGTAGTAGATTTCTTGACTGATTTAGCATCATGATAAGAGAAATTAAAAAAAAAAACATGTTTCATTTATCTTGAATATAGCTCTTACTCTTACCGTCATGCTTTTAAAATAACTTACACTAAATGTTTAGGTAAATCCGTTTAAATGGCGATTTCGTCGAGATGTACTGGACGCTTTACGCTATATCAGACAAACCGCCAATCAAGAGCTGATAGACAGGAGAGTAGCGAAAGACAAAGGCGGTTATTTCCCCGAAGATCTCTTGGAGTACATCATGAAACTTAAAGGTACTGGGGGGAAATGTGCTCTGTCGCTTAAAGATACATTATAAAATTATCTGACTAGGCAAAAGGTTGTAAAGAAGACAGGCACGACAAAGTGAACAAAGCTTTTTTTCACTATTCCAAAAATAAGTTATCTTGATTGGAATAAGCCTTTTGTAGCAATTGCATTGAGAATAACTTAATGGTTTAACGTTTTCAACACAAGCAAATTATGTAAAAAGAAGAAACACGGTTTTGTAAAATTCGAAAAGGTCAAATGTTTTCTATTTCTTTCAGAAAAGTACCCATCCATCGTCACCGACGAAATCTTGCTAGACAACTATGTAACATTTATAATTGCCGGTAAATATGTTAACTAATACTAGATATGTCAATATTTTCCAGTGTTTTGATTGGATAAAAGATTTCATGTGGAGGTCGACATCTCCATATTTCTAATTTGAAAAAAAACCCAGACTGTATGGACTTTAAGTTTCTAAATTTAGAACAGTCGAACCATATGGGTCCCTGAATATGATACACATATTTTAGGGGATGGTGCATAAGTGAATAGTTTGTGGTATTCTAAACCAAGATTTTATTTGTTATTAGAACGTTTGTTAAGAAAACAAAACGCACTTGGATCAAATTAATCAAATTTCCATTTCATATGTAATATAAAATTAAGGACATATGATTTTAGTCTCTGTGAATATTGTCTGCCATTTCGCGATAATACAATACTGACCGAAATTAAAGGGCAAAAATTGAAAAAATTAACACAATTTCACCATCCGATTGCGAGAATCGGAAAGCATAAGGTAAAGTAATCTCAGTGATGTTTAATGTAATATCATGATAAGATTTATCTATACTCCTTAGGTATCGTTTGTGTCGAGACAGAGTTGATTGAAAATATACTAATTTTCCCAAATAAAGTGTTTATTCTGGACGTTTCATCTAAAATAATTTTGAAAATATATGGAAAATGTTGGAGTGATATTTGTCAACTTTTAATTCATTCTTTTGTGTTATGATATAGGACAGGAAACATCTGCCAACGCTATGAGTTTCATAGTGTTTCTTCTCGGAAGGAACCCAGAATGTTATAAGAAGTAAGATCCGTCATTAATTTTATATGGTAGTCTTTCACATGTACTTAGGCAATGATAAAGAAGAACAAATGAAAGGAAATAAAAATGAATTTCATTGGAGTAATGTTTTAAATCATCTTTTACCAGCAATAACACAAATTACGAAATGTATTCTTAGAAACAGGGAAGCATAACATAACCAGGTTTATGTCATTATTTTGTTTTTGTTTACATTGTCTTCAAATTGGTAATATCAATAGAACTCTCCACACTGGTCATTTTTCTGATGAAGGTGACCGTGAGTCATCGAAACATTACACTCTAATCTTGAACTAGTTGTGTTATATGAACTTCTATTCTATTGACAATATTTCGTTTTCCAACCGAGTTTTACTTTGTTGGCAACGAACCGTACTATGAAATGTTTATCAATGAATTTTGTTTATATTACTTTAAAAGGCTACAAAGAGAGATAGATGAAAATATTGGTACCATGTCTGTGATCACTTTGAATGAGCTTGAGAAGTTACCCTACCTAGACATGGTGTTCAAGGAGACACTCCGACTTTATCCTATAGCTAAAGCATCATATCGAGAGACAAAGAATGACTACAGTTTAGGTGATCACGTTATACCAGCTGGAACCGATATGCTGGTAAGTATAACTGTATAAATATTTACCTTTTTCATTGTATTTGTGAATTTTCTAATGGCCAGAAGGGACATAGGAGACAAAAGTCGTAAAGCATACTAGATGAACTTTGTAAACGTGGTGTTTTTTTCTTTCAATTTTCGGAACACCTCCACCTCTATGCTTATCGCCAACAAAACAACAAATGGCTGCGTCTACAAGGCTTGCTTCTTCGCCTGCAACTGAAATTATGACACAGACGAAGTCGAACGGGGTTACGATTTAGTCATTCAGAAAGATATTTGAGAGTATTTTACAATCAAGAATTTGGGGTATTTTGAAAATATCCCCCGAGATGGAATTAAAATGGTACCACGTTTCTAAGTATGGCGTCACAGCCCCAATAGTTGTTTTTCTCGATACTCACTACCTCCATCCATTCACCCCATCTCCCTAGCCTATCTACTCTGACAACTTGATTTGGTCGTTTTGGATACTCATGCCCTATACGCAGACCGGAAATTGGCATTAAAGTTAGTTTCTTGGGAAAAACATGACAACTTCATGAAAATAATGTTTTAATTCATTGAAAATATGACGAATAGTTGTATGTAAATCTTGGTTTATATCTCAATATATAATATTAGATAAGGGGAGCGAGAACAAATATCTTTTGCAGAATTGGTTAGCCTTAACTGCGAGTGCTCCATTACAGGTTAGTTTCTACGGTGCATCAAGATCAGAGCGAAACGTGAAAAACCCGTTAACGTTTTCACCCGAACGATTTCTCAGCGACAGCCCAGAAGAGTAAGTTTATAAAACGCTGTGTAACACAATTCGAAAAGGTAGTAACACTTTTTGAATTTTTGTTGCCATTAAATGACTTCCTGAATAATCATACCTTATATACATTTTGTTTTGATATACAGTGTCTCTTTTAATTTATTTTAGAGTCAACAAGTATGTATCCACACCATTTTCAGCTGGACCTCATACTTGTATTGGGAAGAAGTTTGCAGAGGTATGCAATGTATTCTCTGAATATAAAAATACCACCCGTATCCTAAAGATAAGAAATAAAAACAAGTTACTCTATTTTATGGTATACTCCTTTTTCTTCAAAGAAATTAACCTTTTCCCGTTCATCGCGCTCAAACTTAAATAATAAGCATATTGTAAATTTCCGAAACAATGGACTGTGAAGCCTGTAACCACCAAAAGATCTTGTACTTGACAAATGATCTTGGTTATACATCTGAAGTTATTTCATAAAACAAAGATATTAGCCATTGTTGTAAACTTATGTTGTCCGCCCCAAGTTTTGATGCTACATAAAATGTTTCTGTAATAGGAAATGATTTTTTTTTTCCTTTTCAGATACAAGTCAAAATCACCATTGCCAAGATCATTCAGAAATTTGACTTTGATTTGAAGCCCGGTCAAAGCAGTGAAATAATAGACCATTTAACTATACAATTAAAAGATGGCGCCGTATGTTTCTTCCGTCACAGAAAATTGCAGTAGCTGAAGTAACCAACAACGAAAATGCTTCAGCAAACTTGCCATGGTATTTTGTAGAGATTTTTTAGCGCTTTTCGCGTTGAACGTATTGCGCTAAATTATGATCGCCCTGCTTGTAGTTTCTGTATACTGATTATATAGCATATTTTGTGGATGGAATCTTTTTATTATTATGCTACCTTACTGAAAAGAGATAATGCGCTTCAATTTCACTGCGCTGAATTGATTACGTTTAAAGTATCTTTCAATAATAGAAGGCTATTCAGTAGATGTTTAAACGTTTTGTTTGATTTGTTGCAAAATTTGAATCCAGTATATACTTTTATAAGACTCATTTGTTTTAAATGAACGTGATTAGTTCCACAAGTATATGATATAATGTAAGTAATCTGCTTGATAGTGAAGTTTGAAACAACTGACAGTATTTAAACAGAGATATACCTGTATATCATTGTATTTATATCCAGATCATACAGAGTATCAGTGTATCGATTTCAATTACTATCAGACACATTTATTCAATTACTTATTTAATCACTATGTTAGACCAGGAACATGTTGGCATATTACCTGATGGTTAGATAACCTTCAATGACAAGTGATTAAGTACCATCGTGTCCTTTCAATGGATCGTAGATATTAAAGTGACAATAGAGGGGTTGATCAAACGAGTCAGAAATGAGGAATCAATTGAAGTTGGAGTTTGGAGTTCACTCCATTGTTTGAAATGTCATAATGAATTGACTTATTTCATATTTGACTGTAAATAAAGTATATATCCAGCATTTTAGTTCCTTTGTACCTGGTAAAGTTAAACCGTATAAGGACTGGATGAGATAACAGTTACACTCTGTCTGATAACTAGTTAATACATGTCTAGAGACGGACATGTCTCCATAAGGAAAACGCTTATATCGTCCTGAGTGAGTCTTGCATTATCGCTTAATGATTTTCCATGGAAGAGGAGTGCGTTCAAATGGAATCTTCGGAAAAATATCTCACTAATACGAGGCGTTTTGATTATAATTCTGCTACATTTATCAATAGTTAAATATTTCAGGTTGCTATTAAAAAGCAACAAGAAAATACTATCATGTCATAAACTCAAATTTGATATAACTCAGGCTAAAAATTAACAAAAGAAAGCTTTACACAAAGGCTCTTAAAAAACCGGGGAGAATAAGATCAGATATTCCGAAAGAGTAAGAGTCTTCTGCTCCGTCAAGCGTCATGCCATGTAAACCTTGGTCAATCCAAGTAAACTATGTCACGCTCTCAAATGAGAACAAGGTATACAACAACGGAATCAGCAGGCAAACTTACGAGCATCAAATACGTTCAGCTTCATGTCGCACAAAGAAATAGAATATTTCTCAATGAGATCACTATGGCGACCATAAAACTTCCCCATAATTTTCATCAACCTGCATCTTTTGAACCCTTGTGTTACGAGCTTGTCAGTCAGTTGACTTCTTGTACGAAAATCATGATGACAGGAATAGGCCCCAAAATATCAACTACGATATGTCATGTTATAACATGTTATAACGTTACTCACAATGTGATAGTGTTATCATTTTATGTAGCATAACCTTGACGCAAATTGCTAATGTTATCAATCTCGGTGCATATTTCATGGAATAATGATAGTTGTGTAATAAATAGGTTTCACAAAAACTTAAAAATTGTTGATAAAGTATGTTAGAAAATTATCTTGGTTCTATTCCGTGACATTCTATTAGTCATAAAGTGATGGACTGACGTGATCATTTTGCCTCCCTACGGAAAGATAAAAATAAAGGGGATTTACAATTATGAAAACCCCTACAACCGTCGTCAAAGTGATAGCATTGAAATGAATGCGGTATCCACCAGGTTCTATCAGAGTTGTCTCCTCTTCGACCATTGACTATAAAGATAATGTAACCACAAGTTACTTCCCTTACGTCGGTAGCTCTCTTATTTGAAAACTACATAAGTCGTAAATAAAAAATGTCTTGCATAAAATGGAGTCTTGATATCCTGCAAACAGAAATATGGATTGTACGTCGTCCTGACCACGTCAACGACCAACATAACATAAACACATATTACGAACAAAAGGAATATGTATAGATGACTCAAGAAAATTTTAAAGAATACTAAATGTTCGGGAGGGTAAGGTTAACATTATCTTGGATGAATGGAATAAGTAATGCCACGTTCCCAAATGAGAACAGTTAACAACAATAGAGACACATGACATACAAACGAGCATTAACCATGTCCAACGTCATCTGACACAAGAGACTAAAATCTTTTCGAATGGGTTCATTAGAACAAGCACTAAACTTCCCAACTAATCTTCATTAACCTGCGATTGTACAGACCCTATGTTGTATATCTATTTGTCAGTTGTCGACATCCAATCTTGAAAACTATTGTCAGTTGTCGACATCCAATCTTGAAAACTATAAATGTTGGTTTCCATGCAGGTAAATATCAAGATAAGCGGTTAATAAAAAAGATCCTTGTATCCTTAATTCCCAATGGTCTGGTGTGTATACATGCGATGAATATGATCTTTAATATAAATGTGGCAAGGTATTTGTGATGTTTTGAAAAGCCATACGAAAAAACCAGACTTGCATGATAAACGTAAACGAGTCAGCAAAGAGATTGGGCAAAGTTTGCTCCTATTTTATACCAATAGTAAAAATATATCAAATATTCTATTCTCACCAAGGAAAAAAATCAGAAGAGGGTTTCATGATAGGTCAAAATCTCTTTGGAGTTCTCCAAAATCCACATAACATTAGTTTCATTTCTCTAGTAAACAATATCACAATAAGACTGTTAGTACTCAGAATGGTCCTGTAGCAGAACAGTCACTGTGGAGTATTACCTGTTAAAAAAATCCAAGGACAACTTGGTTCATGTTTATATAGCATAGATTCTGCATTGTCAATTACAACAACATTTCCAGTAATTATGGTTATAGTTCCACATGTTAGTTCAATTTAACGTGTTTGCTTCCGGAAGTATGAAGATACATCACCAGAGATGAGTGTTGAGTAAAGAAACAAATGTTTCGTAAATCCGCAATTTCATTCGCAATCAAGGTGATTGGTTTTAATGATTAATTTTAACGCACATATTTAGAAATCAACCAACTGAAATTCAAAGAAGTAACGGTTTACATCTGAATCTGTAACACCACCATTGTGACTCTAAGACCATTCGACTGCTTTGTTGAATGAAGTACGTAAAAATCGTCAAACATCCATACCTAGAAATTGCTTCCGAACTCAGTTCAAGTTTTAAATTTTGAAATATGGATATTGTAACAAATGGTGGTAGAAGTGGCATATCTACTCTAGCTGTGGAGTGATCTTATATTCAACAGTCCAGATAGATGGCATTCAACACTCTAATAATGCCATCGTAATCATTAATTGGGTTGATTTCAACAGAATGATATCATACAAGATAATCAATTTTGAGAAGTTAGAACTACAACAAACGAAAAAGCAAACACAAAAACAACATAACTCGATGTTTCTCTTCACAAAGTTTATCAAATAAATAAGTTTCTAGAAGGAGATTTCCGTCTACAAAATATATCAAAAACATTTTCATCTCACAATGCCATAAATCTTGGCTTCATCTGCAATAAATAATATAATTATGCATTATAACAACTATACAGTAAATAAATATCAAAACTCAGGAATCACATTCATATTAGACCGGGCACAACATATATATTTTTTTCATATATAGAAGCAGCGGGCAGTTCAGAAAGGAAACAAGTAGATCTTAGGAAGTCCAATGGAGTAACGGAATGTTGAGTTTTCACATCCTCGAGAGGAAGAGGTCATCATTTATCATACCATAAACAAGGGTGTTGCTGGGGTCTCATAAAAGTATGACTCTCGCCGAATCGACAGGTGCCTTCAGCGTGATTGAAATGCCCTCTGTAGTAATGACTGGTTGGTTTTATGTCAAAATTGCCCTTTATCTCACAGCTGTCAAATGCCACTAGACCATCGTTTGGAAGAGATAATTGTGTGAAAGCTGACACAAGATGTAGGCGTGCACTCATGGAAAAAGACAGATCCATTCCGAATGCGCTAGTACCGCACACAGCACCAGATATAAGACGCCGCGCCGTTCGTATAAGATCGTTATAAGATACACCAGTTGGAGACTGGTATGAAGTTTTTAGTGAAACGTAAGCCTGTGAAGGACGGTCGCTTTTTGGTTTACAATAGTTTAGCTCCTCTAATACGAGGTATGTTACTTTTGTTTTTAAATCCTTCCTTGAGCAAAGATATTGAAGTTCGTCAGAAACCTTGCTACCTCTCCAGGGCGCTTGTATAGAGTACCAAATACTTGTCCGGTGGTCAAATTTACAAATGCGTCTGTGGAATGCCGCAGCCACCACCAGGTTTCCCATGGAATGGGAATAGATTACTGTATTTGAAATCGGTCTCGTTGAATTACCGAGGGCAAACTCACAAAACATCTCATGTGATTGTATATCGTCCCATCCACGTTCTATACTGTTGTACCACATGAATCTGCGTGTAAGGCATTGTGGAGTGTACTGTTCAATGTGTCCCCAGTAACTCGGCAAAGTTTTCTTATCCAGATAAGTATCTGTTGGCGGGTGTTCACCAGCTCCGTGAACAAACAAACAATGTTTCTTTGGTTTTCTGTTTAATAATGACGGTCTGGATTTCGGTATAAAATTTTCTGTCGCAGCAGACATTTCTTCTAAATGTGATATATCCGGAAAAGTGACATTACATTCTTCTAACTTTTGAGGTAAAATAATCATGTTAGATGAACCCGTTTTCCACTCTGTTACTATGGCACGTGTTCCTTGATGGCCGATGTACACCAATTGTGACCCGTGTATACACAAATCTATAGTTTGACCTGCAGCAGTGGTGTATAACTTGTTTCCGGAACAAGAGGGATTATTTACACCTGTTCCATTAGTGTACAACATTGCTTGTTTTTGAAGAACGATTTCAATCACCATGAGCCATTTGACTGACTCTATGTCGTTCTGACAAAACCATTGTTCTTCCTTGCCGTATATCACACCCAATACTGCGGAATGTTTGGCATATATGAATCTGGTAATGACTTGATCTACATGTACAGATGAACTGGAATTACTTGTTCGAGTTTCTTGATAGGTAAAGGTGTGTGTGTCCGAGTTCCAGTGAACATCAATCCACGTATTTGTATTTTCTGTTCCTGCTTCTGGTTGCTTTAATAACTTCAATTTGGCTTGGAATGAGTGTGAAAATGGGTCAATGTGCTGCAAAGTTGGACTTTTTGCAGAGAGTGCGCCTGTACCGGATGTGACAGCACCGGACATTAAGTCAGCAGTATGGACACCGACGAGTATAAATATTACGACAACTCCAAGCAAAACGACAGCCAATGCCACTTTACAGTGTGGTAGACTTGAAGGTTGTCTCGTTTGCGTTTTCAATAGACTTGTTCTTTCCTGATCTGCCATTTTGTTCCCCTTTTCGATATTGCGTATTTCCACTAAACCCTGGAAAAAAACAAAACCATGGGTTAAAGACAGTACACAACAATGGTTGACAAAATAATCTTCTTTTCCATGATGACATCTACAAAGACATACTTATATAAGGCACGTAGGCTCACAAGGAACATGCACCTATGCCGTAAGTGTAGTAAATAAAACACGGGAAGAATTCTGGTATAAATGCAACACAAAACGAAAGTAAGGAAGCTAGATTTGTAGGAAGAAGGGACGTTTGAAAATAATCTTCCTGGTAGTTTATACAGTGAAAACTTGACAAATATTCGTAAACATGTTAGCCAATCACCATCACACCAGTAAATTGATTCATAGTTAAATACAATATTGTGAATTCAATGATAATCATCGGACTCCAGGGCCCATATTCACGAAACCATTCTCATGCTCAAGCATAGATTTTGTGTTCTAGCAAACTTTTTTTATAATTCACCTGAATAATATAAAATAATACAAATGTAAACCTTGAATATAGCTTTGACTTGAAGTCCTTTCAAAATTGTTTTAAACATTCGGCAAAATCAGCCTTATATATTATTTTTTAACTTAAACAAGATATAAGGCTTGAGCACAAAATTCATGCTTGAGCATGAGAACGGTTTCATGAATACGGGCCCAGGTTACATTTGCATGAAGCTTTTACATGTGTAATAGTCTTGGATTAGATGGGTTTTTTTTTTTGTTTACTTATTTAACAAACGAATTTTTACATCTGCATTGCAGCATTTTGGCCTTTCATCTGACAGGAAAAGATAGAAAAGTGTTTGGAATGGGTAAAGCAATGAGCAAACGTAGACAGTTGGAGGAGGGGGATGGTGTCACGTGGGAGAAGGGGGTGGTGTCACGTGGGAGAAGGTGGTGTCACGTGGGAGAAGGGAGTGTCACGTGGGAGAAGGGGGTTGGTGTTACGTGGCAGAAGGGGGTGGTGTCAAGTGGGAGAAGGGGGTGGTGTCACGTGGGAGAAAGGGTTGGTGTCACGTGGGAGAAGGGGGTGGTGTCACGTGGGAGGAGGGGGTGGTGTCACGTGGGAGAAGGGAGGTGTCACGTGGTATAAGGGGTGGTGTCACGTGGGAGAAGGGGGGTGGAGTTATTTATTTAACCATTATTTATTCATTGCATCATTATTGATGCGAGTCAGACATTGTGGTTTCGGCAAATATGTCAATTCACGTAAGTTAATAATATAACATTGGTCAATCATGTGATTACTGTTGTGGTAAATGATTTAGAAGATCTAAAAGATAAAGAATATTAAATAATACACTGCATTTAGGCAATTTCGGTTTAGAAACAAATGTAGGTTCGATATACAATGAATATCACCTACTCCTTAAAAAAAGACAGTTTACTAAATATGATGTATAAACTCATATTTAAACGAAACCGCTGATTACGTTAACTACTAGAGAGAATGTCAAACAATCCATGGTTTGTGAATATTTTCAAATATGAATTTAACAACATAGAAATAATCTATATCACTTCACAGCTGTAAGTTGTTGAGACAGGACAGATGTTTTTGAGAGCTAGTTTTGTTGCGACAGTTCTTGTTCATTCTTTTTTCACTAACCACCCGTTCTTTCTAACCATGCTTTAATTAGCTGAGATTTCCAATCTTTGAATTCCAAGTCAATGACATTGGAGGAGGCCAAATGGGAGGTGGCGCCAATTCCAAATCCTTGAAATCTGTACCCCATCCCCATGGAGGATGCTGGATCGACATAAGGCAACACCTGCCATTTAAAATATAAGTGACCCTATGGGCCTGTTTCCGCTCACCTTTTACTAAATGATGCTGGAAAATGCATCTCATATCTCTGGTCCTAAAAGTCGAATATGTTTCAACCGATTAGTAGTGATGGAAGACATCTCAGATTTCAAATCAACCTGCAAGATAAAAATCAAGTATAATCAATGATTAACATGCGCAACGGCAGAAATCGTTGGAAAATGCTTCGTCATTATGTATCTGGAAATAGCCGGTGTGGGGTGTATATACTTGTGTACTTGCCAGCCGTTCAGAAACTTAATCCAGTCACCTTTAAAGTGGGTTTTGATGTGAAAAAAAAACTTTCTCGATTCTTTGTGGGTTACGATCGCTTTCACATATTTTACTGGTCTAGTGCGGGTTTGAGGAACCCCCCCCCCCCCCGCAAAAAAAAAAAAAAAAAAAATACAAAAAAAACAGATCAATCACAGACTGATACGCTACTTTGAAGATTACAACAAAAAAAAGTTAAACTCAAAGAAATAAAAGTGAGTTTGTTTTTAAAAAAAAAGATGATGTTAGGTCTAAAACTGTAAACTTTCAAAAATGTCACCACGATATCTACATCAAAATTGTCTAAATATCTATCCTTAATATATAATGATTATAAATAGATGTGTGTTGATGTATATTTATGGCTTTAAAAAAACATAAACTTTTTCCCTACATTTGCCTCAAAAACTCCATTCTGGGTTTAGAGACGCCCAGGAAATAGCTTAAATAGCTAAAAGTGACTCGTAACCAGTGAGCTAACTATCACATGTACAATTCTTGATCAATGCTTACATGTAATTATTTATCATAATCATTTGTTCGTAATAACTCTTGAGGACCATGGCGTACCATGGAAAAGGTGAGTCATAATGATGATGATGATGTTGATGATGATGATGATGATGATGATGATGATGATGATGATGATGATGATGATGATGACGAAGTGTGAGAAAAAAATCAAATTATGTTTGTTAATTACAAAAAAAAATAATAATAATAATTTCTAGAAATATAAAGACTTTGATATAGGAAGGTCAATACGTAAGCTCATATGTTTCATGCTCACTACACGCAATTTCCAACAACTGTTATTTATTTGTATTTGTTTTGATAAAACAAATCTGAAATAGAAATAAATCTAAACCACAAACACGATAATATTTTGTGTAAATTAAGCTGCTAAGTCAATTTATTACATAAGTTTGCTCTCGATTGTAAAATCAAAAATAGAAGAAAATCCAAATGCTGAATACAAACGTACAAATGAATAATAGAATAATCAATAAAGAATACACAAGTGACAGTAAAAGAATAGAAGATCTACTATCAAAATAAAGATCACACATGTAGTGACATGAGTAACAGTAAAGGACTAATTCCAAAATTAAGAACACACGTAACAGTTCAATCTAAGAATTAACCAATCCCCTTTTACATAGTTCTTTCTTCGGGCATTTTAAACAAAATCGTGTGTTTAGATTTTTTTTTTTTCGATACTATGTCCTGACAAACATGTTTGCCGAAGGGAAAATCGATTTGGATGTTTGAAATTACTAAGCTCAGCCGATCAGATCAAACAGTCAGATGGCAAGTGCCTGTCTTATTGGATTGATGTTCGTCAAAAACACCATTACCTGTAATAAAGTACTGCTCGAAGGTTTGCTAGAAAGGATGTTATGCAAGTGAGCGTGAGAGAATTTTACGACTTTGTGACCATGAGTGATTCATAAGTGTAAATAGGTCTGGTGCACATAGAAAACGGGGACGTGGCTTTCACAAGTCAAGGATATGTACGTGTCTACTTAGACCATATTAATCAATATAAACATGTTTATTGAATTTCATATTTAAGACGACAGATTTATTATATTGCTATTAATATTATGCCTACGACAAATTAGTCACAAAATCTATTTTACAGTAGTATTGATGCAAGCACACCCACCGTCTATAAGTACACATGCGATGTTGTACACACGTACTTACGTTACACTAACACATTTCTAAGTTATATGTAATCAGCAGACCTAGTATTCGATAAAATTCAAAACTTACCTCTACATTTGAAATCAGTGATCCCATGCCTGGTGTTGGATCTAACATATATGTGTACGTACCGTCCAATTCGACCCAAATATAGGACGGATTTTGTGTGTCGTACGATACGCTAAACCGGATACAGTATACTGTTGCAAACCTAAATAATCAGTCGTTATTCTTCACGCACTGGTCGCTCGTTTGTAGTGTTAAGGGCGTAAATGAAATACCGTTGTGTAATTATCACCTGACGTTTTTCAAGCGTCCCGTGGTGTTTACCATGCGCCTCTCGTGGGTAACTAAGGCGTGTTAAATCCGACAAGCTAGTGTAAACACACGCTCCAAACCAGATAACCACACTAAAATTTCAATTCATAAGAGAGCCCAATTGATCTATAATATACGTTATGTCAAAATTAGTTGAAGATTGTGTTACTTCATTAATATGTGTTTCAAGGGAAAAAAATAAGAAAGAACTTTCCCCTTCGTCATCAAAAGAATAACGACAGATCTTCTATTCGCGTGTATTTCTATTAATGTAAACTGTAAATAATTTTCGTACCAGTAAATAAAATAAACCCAGTTCTCTCTTAACTCAACGATTCAAAATACATACATTTAGTATCTATCAAATTATGAAAAGTTCAGCTAGAAGACGACACAATTCCTCTGGGTTTGAAGAAAAGACTATTTTTGGAATTAACATTGATATATGAAATGGTCATAATATTGCAAACCATCGCTGTTTGTCAGTTCTTCATTTTAGTAACAATGTGTTAAACATGATGATTAAGACAAACAAGTTGTCCGTACCCCAATAAGAAAAAAAATCCTACTATGTCACCATTAAGGGTTTTAATTAAATTCCATAGTCAGCGTAAATAAAGGGGAGAGAACTGATGAACAGTATAGCATCACATTATAATTGAGTTTAATTTATTTTAATTTATGGCTATATTTAACTAAAGGCATTATCGAAAGTGATTAGCATAGTCAACTTCTCGCACGACACATTTTTGATGTTTTGATTCATGTTACTGAGATATCAATATGTTGATTTCCTGCCGTCGTTGTACTTCTTCCTGGCTTCTTTTTTAACGCAACAATGTAATTTATTGTCAATTAGTAATACATATACGAAATTTTTGTATAAAAACTGGGTTTCAGACCTATTTAATGGCTTAAACAAAGTTACAACCGACTACAGAATTTCATGTTACTCTCCAAGTAATTCAAACAACTTATTGTAATTGAATTATAAGAATCAAGATAAATAAACTGATATTTTGATAGCATGTATAGAATAGTTCCTGTACTACATCGTACTAGTCGGATTACTGTTCAGGAGAGATAACTCTGTCAACTTTCTCGAGAACTTTCGATACGACGAAGAACGCTTATTTCAAACGAATTGTCCCTCAGGACATTATATTGACACTAATGAGATAAAAGTACTGCCACAGAATTACACAATAAATACTCCTTTCCGCTGTCACTAAATCCTGATTGTTTCTTTAATTCTATTGTTACAATTGTGTAACTATTTATTTAGACATATACTTAGCGTTTAATCTAGAAATTCCATGTTGAAATACACCACATTAACACTGTTTTCCTCATACAGGTATTTTAAATCGATTACAGTGTCGCTAGTGTTTGTGGATTGACCAATCAGACAATCTTACATTATACATGTAGACCGTGCCCTGTAATGGTCCAAAGACTTCAAATCTTCCGCATTCTTTTATATCGAAGGCACGCACTAGTCTGTTGAAAGGTCGTAATAACGGACAAAAAGCCAAGTAGATAAATCAAAAGATAAAGGAATAGATAAATGAAAAATAAACTAATACCTCAGCGATTTACACAAATAAACCAATATTGATAGTTTAGTAAATATATATTTATAGATATATATATATATTACGATATCGGATTGTACACACAATTGATACTCAACACATCAAGCAATTTCCTGGTTTGTTTAATATATGAACATACCCTATCAGATTTTAATAGCGATGCGGAGATGACCAGGGAAGTATTTCAATCATGTGACTTCGTTGGAATTTCCGTTTACTTTTCTTCCGTGTTAACAAGGAAACATTAAATTAAAAGTTTAAAACAATAATTTAAGAAGATGTTATCGTGCTAGCAGACACAGAAATGTTTAACGTATAAATGACACAGGAGCGAAAACAGTAATCAACGGAGAACAGTAACGCCCGCAAATTGTGGTGAGTTTTTATGCTGGCAAACACATTATTGTTCTTTTCATTGAACCTGTTCATGGATATTAATAAGCATATCTGCAAACATCGTCATCGATATTACGACGGCCAAATAAATATACTGTAAATTACGACGACGACGTTTGTGTTTGTAGTTACAACAGATTACGACATTTTTACATGTATTTACATGATATCTCGATGTTTGTTTAGTATAGGTAGTCACAGAAGATTACGACCTCTGTATAGGTAGTCACAGTAGTTTACGACCTCTGTATATGTAGTCACAGTAGATTACGGCCTCTGTATGTGTAGTCACAGTCACAGTAGATTACGACCTCTGTATATGTAGTCACAGTAGATTACGACCTCTGTATATGTAGTCACAGTAGTTTACGACCTCTGTATATGTAGTCACAGTAGTTTACGACCTCTGTATATGTAGTCACAGTAGATTACGACCTCTGTATATGTAGTCACAGTAGATTACGACCTATATATATGTAGTCAAAGTAGATTACGACCTCAGTATAGGTAGTCACAGTAGATTACGACCTCAGTATAGGTAGTCACAGTGGATTACGACCTCAGTATAGTTAGTCACAGTAGATTACGACCTCAGTATATGTAGTACAGTAGATTACGACCTATATATATGTAGTATTCACAGTAGTCACAGTAGATTACGACCTCAGTATAGGTAGTCACAGTAGATTACGACCTCAGTATAGGTATTCACAGTAGATTACGACCTCAGTATAGGTATTCACAGTAGATTACGACCTCAGTATAGGTATTCACAGTAGATTACGACCTCAGTATAGGTAGTCACAGTAGATTACGACCTCTGTATATGTAGTCACAGTAGATTACGACCTCTGTATAGGTAGTCACAGTAGATTACGACCTCTGTATATGTAGTCACAGTAGATTACGACCTCTGTATATGTAGTCACAGTAGATTACGACCTCTGTATATGTAGTCACAGTAGATTACGACCTCTGTATATGTAGTCACAGTAGATTACGACCTCTGTATATGTAAATTTGTAGAATAGTTATCTTCCTTGGAAATGAGATTATGATGGTGGATAGGTTGTGAGCAATATATTGTTAAGCAGGAATATCCCTTTTCAGCTCTACTTTTTCCTGATTATTGAAGTCGGTTAACTAGTGTTAATTGATCAGTTTATATCGAAAGGATAGCAGTCTAAAGTAAAGAAGACAAGTGACCTTTGCGAAATGGACAAAGCAGAGCAGTGATTCAATATTTGCATAAGAAAGGTTTAGCACCCTAGGATATCCATACTGATATGGTAGCAACACTTAAGAATGATGTCCCTCCATATACTACAGTGAAAAGGTGGGTGACGGAATTTAGGCGTGGAAGACAGAGCCTTATGGGTGATGCCCGTCCTGGAAGGCATGTCACTGTTGCAACCCTAGAAATAGTAAATAAAGTCCATGGTATTGTTATAGCTGACATATATATAGTACAGTTGGGATTTCACAGGAAAGAGTACATTCCGTTCTTACGGAAGATCTTACAGTGAGAAAGCTCTCAGCCCTTTGGGTGCCTAGACTTCTGACAGTTGACCAGGAGTACACCAGGCGTGCCATAAATTTAAATTGATTGAACATTCGCCTTATTCGCCTGAATTCGTTCCATAAGACTTTAATCCATTTCCAAAATTGAAAAAGGCCATTTCCGGTACCCACTTTCGGTCAGATAATGGCGTTATACATGCGGTGGACGACTTTCTGAACGGTCAAGAAAAGAACATCTTGAAAAGTGGCATGGGGGGCGGGCCAAAATGTATAAATACTAAAGGGGAATATGTTGAAAAAGAATGCAATATGTCCGCCAAAAGGCAAACCCTTAAATATGAGTCTCACAACAATCAGACCTCGTTATAAAATCTTTCACCTCTTTGGGATGAAATAAGAGGATTTCAACCCAAGGAGAAGATTACTAAGTTGTAAAACACAAGGCTTGCCCAGTCGGAAATAATCAGAAAAAATGTTCTGTCTTATTTCATTTATGCATGTGTTATCTATATTTTCAGAATGGTCATACTTCGAGATGACAAGGAGCATGGAAACGGAATATCTTTTAAGACAACCAAACAAAAATTGTCGGGATCAGAAGTTATACGTCTTTTTAATAATTTCTGTAACGTTGGTAGTCCTGTCAATTCTTGTCGCTGGACTGTTATTAGGCTACATCTGCTGGGAAAGAAGTAACTATGACAACGAGAAGGTTGTTCATTTAAAAAACGTTCTGCCGAGCTCGCATGGTGTTGTGTTCAAAGTTTCTGCTGAAAACTCCTCTGCATACATCAGTACAGATGATATCAAGATCAAGTGGGAAATCGAACCGAACAGTTTGAGATACCAACAAGAAATCGAGGATACGACCGGAAACGAAAATATTTTCACAACTGTCAGTATAATGGATCAAAGAGCAGTGATTTCCTATCGACTAGATAACGAGACAACATGGACATGTGCAAGGGATTTGAAGATATTTCAATGGTTTTCTATTTTGCGTGTCATGATGGATTCCGTGCAGTCTTATAGCACGGAAGAGGACTGTCCTGAATATGTATGGAAAGTACAGTATGAAGGAAAACCAGTTTCGATCTGTTTCACTGACTCTCAAATCACTTACATAAGGCATGGCAACAAACTTGCCAAATTGGAAGAGTGGTCGACCCCATCACGATCTTCCATCAAGCTGCCTCAGGTTGCTCCCAGTTGTGAAGTCAAATACTCTCAAGTACATTCACTCAACATGCCCAAATACGATCATCAACCGAATATTTCGGAGTCAGTCAATAACACAGGAGCGTTTCATTATGAGGCGTTGATACGATCAGATTTACTGACTAGAAGCAACAAGCCAGACTGTTTGTTCGTACACGGGATAGGTGTAGAGACACCAAAGACAGGATTCAATGTTCTCAAAAGCATGGATTATTGGGGCCATATTGAAAAGGATACTCCGCAGTGTTCATCACACAGATTTATTCAATTCAACACGGTCGACAATGGCTGGGACTCAACAGCTTTGCATCAGATGTTTTGCAAGTTTGCCACTGGCTCAGAGTCAGGAGGGAAAATTTCCAACAAGATGATATTTTCCCACTCCATGGGAAACAACATCGTGGCGGCCGCGCTTTACAGGAAGACATGCACCTTTGATAAGATCACCAGCAAATGGTTTGCTGTCTCTGCACCCTGGAAAGGTAGCAAGGTGGTTGACACTCTCGAAGCCCTCTGTGCTGGTTATATAAATTCCAAACACTCCTTCAAAATCCCACGCGTAGTTACATATGTATTAAGACACACAAAGTATTGCTTAAAGAATGGGAAAATGTCGCCAGCTTACAGAACACTGGCACCCGCATACAAGTCCAAAACAGGAATCACTTACGAAGACCTTGTGTCCCAAGCCCGTCAATACGTTAAAGGAGCATTGTGTGGAACGTCACCGTGGGGCATCGGTCTGAACCTCGTTTTCAGTGAAGCTTTAAAGCTCATACAGGAGTACACCAATCTCGAAAAGCCAAACGATGGTGTCGTGGCACTAAACAGCTGTGATATCTTTGGTGAGAGATTCCAGAATTCAGCAGTTAGCAAATTCTACAAGGCACCCATTAATCACCATGAGAGTTCTACGAGGGAAGGCTGTCCTGATATCATCTGCGGCTGGTACAAACACTTGTAGAGCGATGGATGGCATTTCAAATATAATAACATGAAATTCTATTCATACAGAGAGAGAGTTTGAAACTCTTTCACCATTTTCTTTTTGAGATGCGGAAATAAGTTTTGTATTGGTTTGTGATTGATTGTTTATTTTTGTTGTAGTTACCTATAGTCTACAAAACTGTATCAATCAGTTTCGCGTGAAATAATTCTTTAAAAAACATCTTTATATACAGTGCATCTGACAATGAATAACGGAACACTATCAAACTGGAATACAGATTATATGAATATGAACATAAATTCCGTTGCATATACGTTTGTGACATAAACAAGTGGAAAATTCATTATTTAAAGGTGCTAAGTGAGGTGTTGCATGAATTGCATAAGAAGTTGAAACAGATTTCATATCCCTTTAAACTCTTTAAACACCGTTTTCTCCTTTAATTCTTGAACATATCTTCATCCTATGCCTATGGTATCTATCATTAGTAATTTTGTTATCATCTACTGACGCCATAAAACACCTTAAATACGTTAGTGTAATGCGCCAAAATATTGCAAGGAATGCCACGACAAACAATTGATATATATATATATATATATAAATTGTTCATTGTGGCAATTTAGCAAACAGAATTTTCCGAGGCGAATATTTAAATGTCTTTTCGTTTGGCAAGAAATCTATTAAAAGATAACCTGATGTTTTTTGCAGACATTTTATTCAAAATTGTGCTTTTATTATTGAAGATAACAATTCGCCATTGTTTATGAATTTTTACTGACATTGCTGGTATGAGTACAAATGCTTACATGAAGAAGTGATGTGTTGATTATTGGTGGATATGTGAAACATTGCATGAAATTTCTGCAAACACTTTTGAATTTCCATTTAAATATCAATTCAGAAAAATGCATTTTCTATTTGGTTGTGAGATGTATTGCTATCAATAATGATCGTTGGTTTATACTTAAAAAGTAAATGAAACTGTAACACCAATAACAACATTGTCCTCCAAATAAAATGCAATATCCTACCAATTAATTATCTCGTTATTACTTAAGAGGTTAACTTAGAAAAAAAAATTATCTGTGTTCCTACCACTCACAATTGAAAGCTCTAATGTTCATGAAACATTAGTGCTTTTTAAAGAGTCGAAGAAGCCTAATGCTGCTGTATATTCAAAATTGTTTACATAGAATTTTGTCACCTTATTGATTAGTATATTGGTGTTGCATAGTCAATGATTCTGTTTTGTTTAACTCCTTGGGTTTATTAAAATCAGCTAATGAACAAGACTATAAAATGCATTTTTATTTTATATAATTTGTATTTTTTTTATGATTTCTGTAATTTGGAAATAGTCTTTAATAATTCCCCATGTCAGTGTAATTTAAATAAAGCACCATGACAATTTTCTACTATTTACACATGCTGAACTATATACAAGCTTGTAAGTAACCTATGTATAATGTTCAAACCTGCTAAATTTAATATTTCTAATTTTTATAGTGTATTTCCTACTAACATTTTTATAACACCAATGGTATACACGTACCATTTTAATCTTGTTTAATTATATCACATGTTTTTATTTTATTCGATAATAAATAATTGCCATCCTCCACCTTTTTATGTACATGTTACGCATGAATTTCCCGCACATCCGCAACCCTTGGCCCGAAAAACAGATCAAACGGTGACTTCAATCATCAGCTCTAAACAGTGTCCAGAGACAGGAAGGTACGGCATGCTTATTTCGGAACGTTATCTTCAGGTTGGTTATGTCAATATCATAGCAGTTCTTTTAACACAACCAGTAGAATATTAGAATGTTATGTTTCGATCACTGCACAGTCACCTTCATCAGACAAATGACCAGTGTGGAGCGTTAAAGCATTAACTTACGTAGTGTACGAGATGGTAGAGTATCGACAAACTTTTTCGGTTTTACTATAATCCTCAGTACACTTAAGTCGAAAATAGTACGACAAGATGTTAAACAGATTATAGACCAAAATACATAAGACGGTAACGATGTACAGTAGTCATATCGGATAGGCTCTGGTCATAGATGAGCATTTATTAAAACTTTGGCAATATATTAACAAAAGAAATATTTGCATGGTGACTTCCTAACAAGTACAAGGAGAATAAGGTGTTCAGGAAGAGAAAACGTCTTCTTCTTCATCGACGACACCCGCCATCTCAAATGAGAACAAGTAAATACAATAACCATATCAAATGGTTCTGTTTTGCCATGTTGAATATTTGATAAACGGAAACATCATACGGTTTAATATCAGTACCAGATCAAACAAACACTTTCCCGTCGGATGTACGTGCCAAAATCAGATGAATCATAAAACAGTGCGTTGCTCATACAGCCAAACACTTTAGTGATGTTTAAAAAGGTCTTCCATCGGATAGCTCGACAATATTAAAGACAAAAAGACATCTTGTCGTGTTCTGGTAACCAGTGTATATGAAATGTTCGTATAGTGACCTTTCAATCGATAACATTTTGAAGCAGTTTCCAGACGAAATCCTACAAAACTGAGCCTGTCAGGAATGACATCCAGTCTGGCGTACATATTGTATTTTATAAATAACATGTGGATAGAAGAATACAAATCAAAACTGTTTAGTAGAACAGAAAGTTTACATATTTATTTTTTTCTGTACAGAGTTTTTGTTAACAATGGATTTATACTGACACTTATATATATATGTAAATTTCAAAATGAATCTGACACAATAATACTCGATTTCAATACTCACTATATTCAATATTCATTGATCACGCGACCTTCATCGGATAAAAATCTTTTAACTAAATTATTAGTGTATCGTTTCTCAAACATTAACAGTCCTAATTCAATGCTTTAATTGTTAAATAGAAATTTAGTTCGTTACGACTAAGAAATACACTCGGGTAGCGTGAAACAAGGCTTACTGTAATCTGGTAAATATAGACGGAAGGTATACCACCTCCCAGACCTTATAATAAAGGATCAGCTTAAAGAGGAGGTGTCGATTTCCTATCTCGATCCATCCTTAAATTTGTTTAAATGCCCTACCGCTATTTAATGTGAGTGACAGGCGAACGCGTTAGAGTTTGGGGTTGTTTGGTCTCTCTAGTTATACCTGTAGAAGACTATACTGTACTGTTCCCAATTCCTGCTTTGGTTTGATTCATGCGATTTGTTGAGCGTCTAACACGTTTTAACAGGAGAACATTGAGTGTGACAAAATATGTATTAAAAAGGTAAGTAGAAATTAGTACAATCTAGGTTTGTTTTCGTGATTAGATTAATTTCACACATTTACATACACAGATGTATTTGATTTGGTTAAAAAAATATGTACGTAGTGCAATTAAGACATTGGTATACCTTACGTTCTGGATACTAACTTCAATAATATTTATAAAAGTTTGGTAAAAGTTATAACAATATCATTATCGACGCTGATCCCACATATGATAGGAAGCGTACCTTCAAAGAAACAACCGAAGATAAATTACTTCCAATAATAAATAATAACTAGCACCTTTTATCAAACCCCATTTCCTTATTTGGCAGTACTGTATGTAATCACAAATCTGTATGATAAGGTTTTATTCCATTGTCTTTGGAACAATATAAGAAATAAATAAAACATTTTATAGAATACAGGATTATGGTGGAGATAGCCGGCGTCCGTACTCAGTAGACATGTATCATGGACGTTCAACTTTGACGTATATTGTGTGTTAATTTCTATTATATCGTTTAGATTTTAGGCAGAAATGATCTCTTTTATGCTTTTTATTTCTTTAAAAACTGCACACATGTGGTATCAATAAAGTAATACACTTGAAATTCCTCACACAGTGTTCCTTAAAACTTAATTCATGTAAAAGCATAGTCACGCGCTGTAGGAAATGATTGCCAGTGTGACTTACCTGAGTTTGACCTGATTAGAATGATTGGTTAGTTATGTTGGTATTTAAGTTTCTATTGTGTCTAAGGAACACTCGTCATGATAATCCTTATATTACGACACTCCTAAAACAAATCTGCCTAAAGCATCAATATTGATTATGTTTACCAGTATTTAGATCAATATTTCATTGTAAGAACTATGATGATGTTTTCACAGGGAAGTTGTACTTCATTTCATGACATAACCAGAAATTCTTGTCTTTATCTATGTCGCCACTGTGAAATCTCCCTTTACCATGACAAGTGTTATATTTGAATAAGGCCGTAGCGAAAATAAACAGGTCACTTGACTTTCGGATACCACTGGATACATTTCATGGTGAGTCAACTATATATCTATTACTGGTAATTACACATGTATAAGGTTTTTTGTTTTGAGTATTATAAGTAAGTAATTACGTAAATATTATTTAACACTTATCGTTAGATAAAATAATCAATAAATAAATCAGAAGTTTTTTGTCCTTTCAGTTAACCTCTGCTTTCAGATATCTATGAAAATGGGATACCACAGATATAAAGGATGATATATGTTTACGTCCTTTCTAAAATCATTAATGTCGACTATAACAGTGACAAAGAGTTTACAATAAATATACTCAATTCCAACAGAGATACAAACGTAATACAAATTTAATTAATGTAGTAATATTAAACACGACAGTCTAATCCTTGATCTGTGACGACGGTTAGTCATGTTTTGTATTTTGTGTTTTAGAATTTGTAGATTTTTGTTTCTGAAGAACGCTATCCTGCTTAAAAATTCTGTTGTGTTGACAAGGTAGGCGATCGCACCACCTGCATTTCATATTGAAAATCACAACGAAAACCTGAAGAGGATTTTAGTATTTTCCATCAATTTTATGAATATCCTAACAGTACTTACTACAGAATAGGTTTTCGCTCCTTGTATTTTACTTATTCTTTGCCTCCCAGCTCCTTCGTATCGTATTGAGTTTGACTTACATCGTGTTGTATACTTAACGAATAGATTAATAAGTCTTTCTGATATATGTTTAAAGAACAATGATAACTGTAAGCAATAGTATAACGAGTAGGTCATGCTTCGCTGGCAGTTATTTTGAAGAACATTGTGCCTGTTAGTTTCACTTTGACAGTCTGTGCATCATTTCATTTGTCCAGTTTTGGCCATTTTCCTTTAATCCTATAAGGGATCGTCGCATACAAAATGTACAAGTCGATATCACACCAGTGTCTCAGTGATACGACTGACTTATTTACAGTTGTGACTTTTAGTTCGAAACACCTATTACAGTTGGACATGTGTTTCTGTTTGTTTCCATGACATCTCAATTCAGACTTACAGTTCTCTTATCTCTGGAATGCAGATTTGATTTTAAGGATCGCTGAAGACTACTGTTTTATTTGAGATTCCGGGTCAATTTGGTCAGTTTGAATTATTACGTGTAAATCAAATGGCGAAAGACATACATATTCGTCTGCGTATGATGTGAGAAAATTCATATGAAATAAACACAGAGGAAAACAAATTGTAATTCAAATTCATAATAAGAACCAGCAAAGCCCATTTCTTTATCACGTGACTCCGCACTGGATGATCTGCAAAATTCCGCTATACTTATTTTGTTGCTTTTGTGTAACCAGTTTGACTGGCTCATTTTCAAAATATTTTCTCAAGCCATTCCCATACGAAACTTTCTTGAGCGTAGAATGCAATTACAGATTTATCTAGATTCACAATCTTTAAAAATCTCAATTGAGCAGTTCAAAACGCCACTTATTTGTTGTTAGGCTGAAAGGTAGAAAAAAATTGTCTGCAAAAATTTAATGTCGCGAATATCAAAGAATTTAAAGCAAAGCTGTCACCGCTTTGAGAGAAGACAAAAACAGAAGGTAACAGAAATGCCGATCACTGTAACATGTAACACTTTAAAGGAAGAGAGCTGTCACACAGAAGTGAGAATTTAACGACACCTTCACTTGCAGAAGTCAAATGTGAGGAAGCAATTCGTTTTACATATCTATGCGATACACCTAACCCAATGAATAGGATATTGTAAGCAATTCAAGTACTCCAAACTGAATAATACCCGGAATAATTTACCATAATATCGGTATCAATTACCAGTAAATGTATGATGTTGTGTATTTAAAATCTATTTAGAAGTGGATATTGTCAATACCTGTTCTTTGTAGTATAAAGACTAGTTACATTATCACGGGAATCCACTATGAATCAATAACGACAGGAAAATGGCCATGTAGATTTCGATCAGTCATTTTCCTATCGTTTACATATAATATACCTTGCATATTTACCAGACTGTGGTTACATTCCATATCCAGTCTCGTATTTCTCGTCAGGTGAAATAGCACTCTAACAGATATCTATCAAATATTTGTCGAGAGGGAACATGTACGTGTGGCCCACAGGAGTAGTTACCGTACGTTGGGGTCGATGTCTACACGCACGTGTACTTGATGTTTAGATTTATTGCCTTTTTCAATGTTTAATATTCGATTGACTTGAAGTAATATAAGCATATCCCTCTCAATTTTAGTTTAAAAGTTATAAGTTGTCCTAACCAGAGTATATCCTGTTAACATAATAATTAAAGAGGTACTCGATGTTTTCGTAATCCTTTACCTGTTAAATGGGGACTCATTCACTCAGTAGGGGCTTGGTTGATTTTTTTTATTTAGGCCTGATTCGATCAAACAACATTTTCTGCATATTAGATAAAAAATAGGATTTTCAATGTTTCAATATATTCATGTATTGTATATCATTTATTATTATTTATTTTAGTATTTGTATCTTTACTATGGCTTTCATCACGACAGTTCACCATTTTCTATTTAAATGATGTCAGTATGATGTTGTTTGCTTTTTGTTTCTAGTCATTGAAACAATCTATATACAAAAAGTGAATGATAATACAATGTCTTGTTTACTCCTTTCAGCCAAGTCCGAGCCATAAAACAGTAAAATTGAACTAATTTAGAAATACAAACACAAACATCGACTACAAGTATTTTGCTTTGATTTTATCATATGTTGTTCTTGTTAAACAGTCACTTAAGTCACGTCTCTTTTCTACAGTGATCCGGGCAGATCTCTCGGGACATCTCCAGGTGGGCGCCAGTCCTTACCAATCTGTATTTGCATTCAACTATTTAGCCAATTGCTATCAACAAACAAACTCAACCTGCACGCCCAAGATAGATTCGCCACTAGGCCAGAACTATCAAAATGACAGAAGCGATCATACCTAGGGAAATATGTGAATATTACATACATAGAGAAGGAAGGTGTAACAACACGATGACCGAAGCCATTGTTGAGATGAAGTCGTGTGGAAACACAAAAGACACATTGACAGTTTATTCAAGGACATAGACGTTTTCACTGGATTAGTGTTCAGTCAATTATAACTAATTTTTAAATTCCTACTCATAAGTGGCAAAGATCTACCAGGTACTTCATAGTCCGGGCTAATTTTGTCACAAGTTGAGTTTCTTTATGATGATATTCCTTTAGAGATTAGACGCTTTCGTGAGTATTGAAAAGAAAAAGTGATTATCTTACCAATATTTCTTTAATTTCTAAAGTATATATATTTACAAAAGAACATTTGTTTAGGTATTTGCACAAACTTTCATTTGAGAAAAGAAAAACACTGTTTTAACAATGGCTTCAGACAAAGAAAATTCGGAGGTTAGAAACCGTAATTTGAATAGACTTAAGAACAACAAACGTACAAGTGGTAAAAAAAGGAAAGCGAAGGACAAGGACCATGTTGTTAGGCCCGCAACAACACCAGGATACAAACCCGGAGAATCGACTGTATCTGCGGAAGGGTTCGGATCTGATGTGACTACTGTAAAGGAATATTCTTATTCGGATGATGCTAACAAGGTTGTTATACGAAATGATATTGAGACAGTCGGAGAAGAAGACTTAGATCAAAGGATTAAAATTCATGTTGATTTGAGGTTAAATCATTACCAGGAAACAAACAAAACTGATGAAATAGACAACGAAATCGATGAATGTGAATATGACACCGTGACAGGTGATAACAAGAGTGGAAAAGAATCCCACTTTTCTTGTCACACAAAATCGATAATTCGCAAGGATTCGTCGTTAGATGTGATAACAGAAGAAAGGGACATAAATACTAATCACAATGTTTCTATCAAAAAAGAAACAATTCGACGGGAAATAACTTTTGACGAGCTAGCGTTAGATGAAACGGAAATATTGAGGACAAGCACTCCAACTGAGTGTTCTGCTCAGTCGCGCATCAGACCAAAGACTTGTTCCTCACTTTCCAAACGGAAAGGTTCCTTAAGATCCTTTGATAGACCGAAATCCTCTTTTAGTCCAAGGACGTTTAAACAATCTGCCAGCTCTCCTTTCCCTCCTTTCCGTGACTTTCATCATCGTTCTGTTACTTCGCAGTCTGACCGTCCGTCAACAGCATACACAAGCATGTCAAATTCACCCAGAAGAAGCATGGAAACGAGGAGATCATTCAAAATAACAAAAGAAGATCTTGAACATTTTCTGCCGAAAAAGAGTTTCTTTAACTGTCATGACAAAGTTCTAAAGGATGCAGGATTTGAAGTCGAAGAGGTTTCACCAGCTGGTGCAAAAAAGCGTCAGTTTATGCAGCTCTTACAGCAAAGAAATAAAGACAGAATAGAAAGAGATAAGGCCAGAAAAATGCCTCCTCCAAAAGTTCTGGGATTACTGGATCTGTACGAACTGGAATGTAGCGCCGACGATTCCAATTCCACATTGGTTAGTTTTGAGGATCAACAGTCAAATAACAAAAACAAGAAAAATGCTAAGTCTACATCTAAGAAAAAAGGTGATCTCGACGAAGAGGAAATTCGTGTGGATTATCAACTGCTTTTGATATATCTTAAATATATAAAAGCGAACCCAGAGGAATTTCTTCAGTATCACCAAAAACACTCCGCTTCAGTAAATCTTGTGCATGTTCGACAAGGGGATTCCCTTGTGAAATTAGGAGGGATCTTCCAACGTGGTCGCCATGGAATATCCACCGAGAGTATCCTTGTGAAAGCTGTACATGACATAAGACCTCGATTTACAGACCCTGGTCAATGGACTTCCGCAAACAAAGAGAAGGAACTATTAGCCCTCACAACTACCAAAAAGGAAAACAGCACACCTGCTGCAAAGCCGGAACAAACAAAAAAAGAAACGTCCAATAACCAAGATGAACCAAAAACGGAGTATGAGAGGATAAAATTAAAACTCGACGGATGGTTGAAAACGGTGACAACAGCACAGCTGAATAAGGCTAAGGAGTTGGCCTTGAAAGAGTTAGGGCAAGAAGATGTTTCCCTATCTAGATGGTGGATCTCTCTAAAGTCATGTAACTATATCAGACAGAGAGGTCACAGAAGCTAAATGTTACATCGATTTTCATTTGTGATCATTATCTGTAGTTACACATGCAATATAGTGCTTAATCACTTAAATATAGCATATTCCCAAAAGTTTTGGAATTGTATGTTTTGTGGCTGTATTACCAAGAAAGATATTCATTTAAAACATTTTAATGACGATAATTAAAATGTATTGGATAAGATATTCTTTTCTATATAGAAATTTAGCTAACTTGTTTATAATGCTTTTTTTGCTCTAATAAGATTTTTCGAAGAATTATGTTCTCGTCTATTGGCTGTGTATTTGTTTTCCATGTGAAGATCCTGTGACAACACCTGCATATCATATGTTGTGAAATCACTGTGTAAACACGATAGATCCATTCGTCATCGTCATAGGTATTTCATTAAGATTGAAGCATGTTACACACAACATTTTATTTTCAATTCGCAAGTTTAATTTTACGAATTAAAACAACATTAACTATGTTAAATTTTAATTTTTCCGTATATTGATCGGGATTAATAACTTAAAACGTGGAGTTTAGCAGCTAACAGTATTTTAGGGTAATCACGTGTCTTATCAAAAGTTATCAATGTACGACTATCTGTGTAGCTATCTAGTCTATTTGTTGTTTCACTTCCGTAATAAGAACAAACATAATTAATTCCTTCAAATCATGGTTTTTACCTGTCAAGATGTCGACATTTGAAAGATACGCTCACAACACAGGATATCGAAAGAAGCAGATAAATGAAAATTATGGGGAAATTTTACGACGTTATAATGGTTTAACGGGGAAATATTCTATTTCCTTGAACGACATTATATACCACGTTTGCTGTTCGTTATCACGCCTTGTATTTAAAAAGCTATTAACTTTTCTAACCTTGTTAACATTTACTTGGTAGGTGTCGCTGATTAAGCATAAAACTCTTAACCTTTTGGAACGTCTTGCTTTATTCTGTCCTTTTTCAGGGATATCCGTGTAAAAGTTTCTATAGTTCGAATTTTGTCCTATTTGTGTTGAATCTGAGTTTAGATGAGATTGTGTTGAGATGTTCGCATTTCCTCTGTTTTGTTTTCGAATCGGGAATTTATAAAATCTGCCATTATGTACTACTCTTTCCATTATTTGTTTATATTCTAGAAATATTTCTTTATTATGTATAGTATTCAAGCCCATTTCAAGTGTGTGTCATAAATATGTATCGTCTTTTCCACCACAGGTATATTTTGGTCCAAATGTGATACATAGAGATTTTATATTATTCCTTATGCAGAAACGTTGTATATTTGTGAAATATTATCTGTACTCCTATTGTTCTTTCCTTGTTAAGGTGAATGTTGTATTGCATGTAAAATGATACGTTTCTGATTGTTGAATGTAGAAAAAAATGATTTTAGAATAATAAATTTCTGTATATTTTGTTTAATAAATGCATACTTATTTATATTACTTTTTAATATAAATTCCATTCCATTTCTAAATGACAAGAAACATCAAAGTTTTAAACATTCTCTCATAATCATATGATCTTTACAAAGGCAGTTAAAGAACACGAGTTGCTGTCTTCAACATGTGCCTCTTTCTAAATCGTAATTGCACAAATGTTTTAACATGTTATTTTTTTGAAAATAAAATTCAATATGACAGTAAATGACCTTTGTTATTTTTTGCAAAATAAAAGGTAAATTTTCATGTTCTCGTGTTAATGACACCGTTCAGTGTGTGACGTTATAGTGCTGCTGTTTTCATATTAAACGATGTCACAATATGTGCCTCTCTGGGAGAGATTGGTATATAGCGTGCTTCGTGTTTTGGTGCCGTGAACAGGCATGCATCCTGAATAACAAGTTAAGATGTACTTTACAAATTTTGTATTAAGCCACGAACACAAATATAGAGCTTCACGACAATATTACACCAAGTAAAATGGTGTTTTCTTTTTACAAAAAAATGCTATTGTCTTTACGTTATCCGTTTAATACATAAACTTTATTTATTTTACAACAATTGCGAAGCAAGATTTAAGCTTATAGTAATAAACCTTGTAGGTCTGGATGGCAGCCGGAGTTCCCGTGGAAAACCCATATGGTCGGGCAGGTGACCCAATACCTTTTCATGGGAGTCGAACTCCGGACGGCTGAGTAAAAGGCGAGTACGTTGCCACTGCGCCACCCGACCACCCAAATATTATTCAACAGTTATCCATTTATTGCATACATAATATCATACGTTTATATTGTTGACCCCAGCAATCTGTTCCATCAGAAGAAATAAACTAAAACCGGAAGTTCACTAGGAAAAACACAAATTCGTGATGTATCTATATTGGCTCGTGACCTGTGAATAATGCGGAAATGTTGGATGACTGGTAAGGCAATTAAGGAAAGAAAGAAATAGATACCACATGTTTATCAGGGGTAATAGATTGTAAAGTCATCCTTACTTTAAAGGACACGTGTCAATTAAGACTGATTATCTATATTTGTTACGCTCGTCAGCAAATTCTTTTTATTAGCCTTTGAAGCTCCCGTATCTGTTTCCTTATGTCTATTTTGGGGCGGTATATCACTTGACATTTGTTTCCGGTATTGGGTAATGGATGTTAAGTGTGGTATATTAATTTGAAATTTGTTCCTGTTTTCCGTGTGGTATGTCCAGTTTGATTATTGTTCCTATGTCCGTTTGGTATGCGACTTTAAATGCTACCGCTGTGTTGAGCGTTGAGTGTGGCTTACCGACTTTGAATACTAGTAATATTAATGTGCTTGGTGTTTGTTGTTTGTTGTTGTTTGTTTACTATTGTAAATGTTTGGTGACGTTATATTTTTCCATTGAATCTTTTTGCCCTTTAGTGTAGATCTGTGATGTATTGAGACGCTGTAGTAGATTTTCACAGTATGTATAAAGCTTAGGTTTACTTATTGTATATTTTTGTCTTTGTGATAAGACACTGTTGTGAATTTGTCCTGATCTCTAAACGCTCCGTACTATTTGTCCTCACATAACATATGTACATGTATATATGTGTGTTGACGCTTTTATTATGATTTATCTCTATATGTTGGCATTCTGAGATTGTTTCGGATGTTTTGGTAAATATTGTGCTGCTGTGTAACTTTGTCCTATTCTTTTGACACCTTACTATATTCCGGGTAGTGATACTGTGGTACGTAAATTTCCGATGTGTTAATTTAATCTGATATGTTGATGCTGAGGTTTAATTTCCCGGTTTGTCTGTCACCTGAAACGTAATCTACTACCCTAACCTTTACCAAGGGTCGTAGTAAGATATCTTTACAAATAATTCTCGCACAAACACTGTCATATGAGCAACATTTAAATATTTTATCAAGAGTAAAATATCTTCATTAAATAATTCAATCAATGAAGAACAAACTGCAGCATTCCGAATTCATTATTTGAATTCACACGTTTATAAACATTATTGTGTTTGTTTTAATTTTGAAATGAGATTATTTCCGTGTAAATTTACAATTTATATATTTACTTCGATACCCTACCCGTGTATAATAAATAGTGCTCGGTAATTCGGTCAGGTCCACCTTTCATTTACCGTCACGCGTGATTTCCGTCAAGTGAGCAAGTCCGACTAACCAGAGTAAATCATTGAAACAAATTGCATGAATTAAGGAGTCCTTTGATATATAATTTCATCTCGAAAACATTTAAATGTATTCAAACACGTAGGTTAACTGTAATTCTGTGTCACTGTTTTCATTAGTCGTGTGTGTATTTTCAATCATGGTGATTTAATTCAAATATGTTTATACTCTAAGAATTCCAAAAAAGAATGTTTTAATTTTGTAAATTGGATATCTGATCTCGCCAGAGTACAACTATCAATGGAGAATGTAATATCCCTTGCCTTGGACAAGGGTATCCACGCTTTTAGTGGGGCGAGACTTCCTTGCTGTACCCCTGTCAGGACAATGGATTAACGTCACAGATCATTCGTCCCGTTGAGGGTGAGATCGGATATTCTCAAACTTTGGGGAAAGATTATTAAGTTGATTCCCCCGTTTTGAAAAAAAAAATAAAAATAAAAACTCGCAAAGGGATGAAAGAATCTATTAATCTGTTCTCATCATTCCTGAGTGTAATTTGCTTTTGAGCAAACATGATATTTACATAGTTATTATAATTTCATCTAAGAATATCTTCGAGAGAGACATTGGTTTTTGTTTTGGTATCATCTGTTCGAGAGTTCTATGTATGTCATTTTTTAAATATTATATCTGTTTTGTCTTCGGAACATTCAAAATTTTGAAATGGATATGCAACTTACATTCGGTTATCAAAAGTGGAATATCATGTTACGTTCTTGTCAAATGAATCATTGCATTGTATGTGTTCTGTTCGTGCCCTGTGTGTGACGTATTGATATTAGATTTCGAAAATCAGAATAAGATATGAATCGAAAAACATAAACGATCTCATTCAATGTGCACTATTTTCCGAGCTATCACTGTCAATATGCAATTCCATTTCTGAATTTACAAGAGTTCAAAAAACAAGGTCAAAATTCCTTTACATGCAAAGTTTAATTGACAGAAAAATACGATATCTTTTTATCAATGATTAAATTATAGATCTGTGCTTTACGGATTCATAGCAACTTTTAAGTATGTGCGCTGAATGCATCTTGAACATGAGTGTGTGTGTTATAAGTACGTGGGCGACCTGATGGTATCTCTTTTGTATTATATCACAGGAATATCTTAAGTTCAAGAGTTTTATAACGTCATAAAAGTACTTATGACCTCATATTTAAGTTCTTCAACTTTTCTCTTTAAATACTAGTTTAGAGATCTGACTAGAATCATATCACGTAATTCTCACACTGAATACATCAATAAATATATTTGAAAAAAATGTCATATTTATGAAAACCACGACACTTCATGAAATTCAGTTATTTAATTTGTCAACAACACGTCTCTGGCAAACAGAATTACTTTATTAGGGGGTAGTATATCTGTTAGTCACCATA